AAATGTCTTTGTGCTGGAAAGCACTTCCTTAAAACGGTCCAGCCCACATCAGGGTATTTCTAAAAAAGGGGGTGACATCTCAGGTGGTTTAGGTGTGTGTCCAGGCATGAATGGCCCAGGATGGCTGCAAGCTGGAGACATTCCCATTCTGGAGAGCGGGAAGTTGTATGGGGATGTAGCAGGTCGCAGTGGTAAAATTCGTGTCCTCCACCGTGCACAAGCCGCCCCTTCACTTTATCCCTCGCTGTCTGTCTGCCCCGCTGGACTGAGGAAGCTGCCCGTCTGCGGTTCCCTCCCACAGGAGCTGCAACCCGCGGATCGGGGATGTGATCCAGAAGCTTGCGCCGTTCCTCAAGATGTACGGCGAATATGTAAAGAACTTCGACAAGGCCGTGGAGCTCATCACCGTCTGGTCAGAGAAATCCCCGCCCTTCCAGGAGCTCATTGCTGACATCCAGGTAATGGGGCACAGCAGGGTGGGGGACCGCAGCAACGCTCCCCAAAATCTCCCCGCAAGCGGAGGGTGGGAGCTGCCTTGGTCACTGTTTCTCTCTCCGTGCACGGTGTCTCTCCCCAGAAGAGGAAGGTCTGCGCTAACCTAACGCTGCAGCACCACATGCTGGAACCTGTGCAGAGGATTCCGCGCTACGAACTCCTCCTGAAGGATTATGTCCGAAAACTGCCACCCGAGTCCCCAGACCGGGATGATGCAGAGAGTAAGGGCTCCGTCTGGCTCTCCCTGCGGTGGGGAGTGGCAGGGTGGGTTTGTAGGGGATAACAACCCCCAATGTTGTACACGGGCATCAGGATACCTGGATTCTCTCCAGCTGTGCCCTTGGATAAACCTCTCAGTCTGACCCTTTTCTAGCAGAGAGAGGGATTAATCTGCCCTTTCAGGGTCTATGGGGTCAGCGGGGAAGGTGGGTGGTGTTTCAGGATAAGGATGGTCCCTCCGGCGCATCCCCCAGGGAGACCTGCGGTGACCAGGGGAGCTATCAGACCCCTACAGATCACAGCAGCTCCCAGTCCTGCTGGGATGGAGTGATAAATGAGCCGGCTATCTGTGCCCCCAGGACCCGACCACGCCACACCGCACAGTCCAGCCGGACGCAGACGCTTGCACAGCGTTCAGGGCCATTCAGGTTGTGTCCAGCGGAGGGCAGCAGCCACCACACACGTGGCTCCCCATGAGGGAGAGACTCGGGGGTTTTCTCCCACAGCTCCCTAGCAAGCGTTTAACCCTCCTCTCTTTCTCTTCTCATTGCAGAGGCCCTGGAGATGATTTTTATGGTGGCCAAGCACTCAAACGCAGCTATCGCCGAGATGGTGAGTGCCTGTCCCAGCTGGCAGTGCTTTGTGGCTCACGGCATGGTGATTTGCCAGATTTCCTCATGGCCTCATTGCCATTTGACTCAGTGGAGCACAGCCCTGCCCTGAACGGGACAGGAGCACTGTGGGTTCCGCCGAGGAGGTGAGACTGTGGGTTCGGCAGAGGAGGTTAGACCCTGCTCTTAATGCCTGTTCCCGTCGCCCCGAGCCTGGGGAAGTCATGTTTACAACATCAGCCGTGATGTGACCGGCTGTTTCGAGGCTGGGAGCTACTCTCAAAGATCAGTCTGGGGTGAGAGAGCTGTGCCACCTCTCCCGGTACTCAGCAGCTGGCGTGGGAGGTGGGGGATGGAGGGGACCTAGGTGTGACAAAGTTGTGGCTGCTCAGCTCCCCACAGAAACAGGTCCCTCTGCCTCCCCCAGGAACGGCTGCAGAACCTCTGGGCAGTCTATCAGCGGCTGGGCCTCGAGGACGATATCGTGGATCCCTCCAACGAGCTGATCAAGGAGGGGCCAATCCAAAAAGTCTCCACCCGCAACAACAGCACATCGGAGAAGTACCTGTTCCTGGTGGGAGCTGGGATGCCCAGGGGAAGGGGCAGGGAGCAGATAGGATAGGAATGGGGAGAGGGGCAGCACAGCCTGGACGGGGTGTTGCTGGGTCATCTCTGCACAGAGGGGATGAATTCAGAGCTGGGGGGTTTGAGCCCCTCGGTGCAGGGCACCCTGTATAGGACGTGGTTGGGAACCTGCTCATCCCCTGGGCACGGCAGCCCTTGGGGGATGTCACACTCCAAGAGTGCTTTGCCTTTGTAGGGTGGGAGAGGGCTGGGGTAGAAGCAGTCCCTTTTTAGGCTGGATTCTTCCCAAGGACCAGCTCAGCCCCAGGGGAGTGAAGGACCCTAGATCTCGGGGAAGCCCCCAGCTCTGAGCAGGCAGGTGCTGGGCTCCAACCAATCCTCTCCTCTTCCTCCTCCCCCCTGCCCAGTTCAACAACATGCTGCTGTACTGCGTGCCCAAGGTCATCCAGGTGGGCGCTGAGTTCCAGGTCCACCTCCGCATCAATGTGGACGGCATGAAGGTCAGACAGGCACCTTGTCTTTGTGCTTCCCCCAGACCCTGGCTCCCCTAAAATGCACCCTGCTCTGGTGTGCAATGTGGCTGCTGCCCCACGCTTCCTCAGAAAGGAGGGAGGAGCTGGAGTCAGGGGTGACTTTGTGGATGAGGAGGAATGGTTGATAGGCTCTGATCCTGTGAGGTTGCAATGCAACCTCGTGCGTGTAGGATTTGAGGGGCCGAAGGGCTTGTGCCCTTCCCTGTCCCCCACATCACGGAGGAAGGTCCCTGTGCGCTGCATGTGGGTTCAGCTGCTCCACATCCTTTCTTCGGTCTCTCTCAGGTGCGGGAGCTGAACGACACACAGTTCCCTCACACCTTTCTGGTCTCGGGAAAGCAGCGGACGCTGGAGCTGCAAGCTAGGTAAGGGGAAGGGCGACAGTCCTGCAGACCCTCTCGAGGAGGAGGGACGCCAGCTCATTCATCTCCCATTTTGTACCAGGTCTGAGGAGGAGATGAACGCCTGGATCAAGGTACCACTGAGTGCTGGGAGGGGTGGCACATCTCAGTCACCCCAGCTTGGATGCCTGGGCCTCAAACCGGGCTGATCCCCTGCTGCCTGTGTCAGGGGCAGCCCCCCCCAACTGCCCCTCCAGCCCTGCCTTCCCCTCTAGGCCTTCCGAGATGCTATTGACAGGAAGGAGAAGAGGAGTGAGACCTTTAAGACAGCAGTGCATGGACTGGAGACAGGCACCCCTGCGTTGAAGGTAACCCCCCTGCCCTCCCCATGCCTTGCCTGCCTCCAGCACCCCCCTGCACGGAAGCTCAGGGAGAGCCCACCTTGCTGTGCCTCAGTTTCCCTAGCTAAACAGAGCTGGGGGGGAAGGCTGCAGACAGGGGGAAGGGCTGGGGAGGAGAAAGGTGAGAGCAGAGGGGCTGGGACCACCTGGACCACGGCTAGCCAGCCCCAGCGATGCCGTCTTCCACCCCCAGACAGA